GTGCTAAACTGTCACTGGGTCAGTCCCCCTCTTGTCACTGGGGTGGTTCCCTCAAGGGTCCATCTCAGTACCTTTAGTCAGGGAACATAACTGAACCATAATCCACTGAAATGATATGTTCTAAGCTGTACTGACTCCACGCACCCCGTCTCGCCTCCAGGACTTTATTTTACTGTTCTGTTTTAAAACATTCGGTTATGAAAAGGTACAAATACGAACTTTTCACCTGGAAAAACTTATTTAAGGTTCACAATCAGACCTTAAAACCACTGTTGAACCTTTTGAGGGAACATTTACACTGTTTGTACCTTAATGAACAAAAAATGCACAGAAGCTTTATTCATATTTTTTTAAGTAAAAAGTACTGTATAACTGATACACAGTTGTAGGTAAACGTTTGAACACATTGGTTTAAATTAAGTGTCCTCTATAGAGAACAGCTTTAAATACAAACATGAATATTTATATATGAATAAACATGTTCTGTGATTTTTAATGCACTATTTCTATTTACTTGCTGGGTTTAACATTTAGGGATAAAAAATAAACCATAAATTACAAATATGCTATTACTTTTGCACAGGCCATGTTTTTTTCCATTATGTGCATAGAGGTGTGTCCTCTGTACAGGATCTGTACTTATCTTTACTTAGAAAACAAACAAAACATGACCAGGGGTGTCCAATTATGTGCATACAACTGTATGAGAAGATATGAGACACAGTGTGTCTCTGAACATCATATTATTTTATTAAAATAAAAAAAAACAGATTTAATTAAATCTAAACTGAATTAAACATGTTTTATAAGTATTATTTATTTTAAATTAGTAACAAACTCACAGCAAACACAATCACACATAAAAGGGTTATGCTCTATTATAGGGACTTTCCACAACGCATTTTCCTTTAATCGCGTTCATCAGGTGCCCCACTGTCCCACTGCAATTTCCTTTTCGAGAGAACTCTCACTTCTCATTCTGATGTCTTAAGGTCAATATTCAATTTGGGTTATGTGCTTTTACCTATAACAAGATCTTGTGTTCTCATTCTCATGGTAAATCATTTGCAAGGATCGCCTGGATGAAGGTCTTTTTTCGACCCATAGAGAACAAGGGCTCTATTTAGGCTCGTCATTATCTCTTATAATAGTAATCGAGTTATCTAATCACTATTTATGATTAATCAAGGAATCTCAATTTTTAATAAAGTGGACTTAACTGAAGAATAACAAACTGTGCACATTTTCAAACACTCCAGAATCATGCAGTTTCTATGCCCTGAGCATGGAAAAATGCAAAATGCAAAACACTGAAGGATCAGACAGAAAAGAGATGGAAATACTGGAACTGTGGCAGATTAAATATTCTGCTTGATTTACTAAAGTTTGAGCAACAAGAGGCACTCAGTTTTTCATGGGTTCTTCTCTGCCATATAAATCTAGGTGTAAATTTGGGTTTGCATGGCGTGTTGTCGGGAAATTTCCTTCAACAATGGCTGCGGTCTTAGCCACTAGTCAGAGACATGAGCCTGCACAGTCCCATGCACAGATTATGGTCCTCTATGCAGCCTTAGTAAATCCAATGTTAGTCTCAGACACAGTAGCCATGTTTACATGCAACCTAATCCGACATTCGGAATAGAATATGCCCACATAAACACCTCAATCGGAATAGTCTAGTCCAATTGAGGCCATTCAGAATACAATTTCTATCCGACTGATCGAGGTGGGTAATCCTGTAAATAATCTGTTAAATAGAAGAATAATATCCGTGTAAACGCCTGTATCTGATTACATTCCCTATCGGAAAGTTTAAGTCCGTTCTGATCATGTTCGTCACGTCATAGTGAGAGTTTATACCGTTCAACATGGTGGAGCAGAAACTGGTCTGCATCTGATCTTTAAAAGACGGTGGTGGGAAGGACGTCCAGCTTATGTGTCTCAGAACACGACGTCTTCCTCTCGGCCTTCTTTAATAAGGACATGTGAAGGACGTTTTCCTGAGTCTGACATCATTTTAAAGTAATTAAAAACACAAGCGCTGCTCACTGTTTATTTATGGTTTCTTCTTCGCGTTTTAGGGTTTTTAACTTGCATTTGTGGATGCAGTGACGAACTGTTTTCACAGACAGTGGTTTTCAGAAGTGTTCCTGAGTCCATGCAGTGATTTCCACTACAGAATCATGTCTGTTTTTAATGCAGTGCTGCCTGAGGGCCCAAAGATCACAGCCAGCAAGTACTGGTTTTTGGCTTTGTCCCTTGCATACAGAGATTTCTCCAGATTCTCTGAATCTTTTAATGATATTATGTACCGTAGACGATGAAAAGCCAAAGGCTATTTTATGTTGAGAAATGTTTTTCTTGAATTGTTGCACTATTTGATGGTGCAGTCTTTCACAGAGTGGTGAACCCCTCCTCATCTTTACTTCTGAAAGACTCCGCCTCTCTGAGATGCTCTTTTTACACTCAGTCATGTTACTGACCTGTTGCCAATCAACCACCAAATGTTTTTTTAAGCATTACACAACTTTACTAGCCTTTTGTTGCCCCCGTCCCAACTTTTTTGGAACGTGTTGTTGGCATCAAATTCAAAATAGGCAAATATTTTTCAAAAACCAATAAAAATTCTTAGTTTCAACATTTGATATGTTGTCTTTATACTATTTTCAATTAAATATAGGGTTTAAATGATTTACACATCATTGCATTTGTTTTTATTTACATTTTGCGCAGAGTCCCAACTTTTTTGGAAATGGGGTTGTACAAAAAATATATACAAACAGGTGTATCGATTAGGCACTAATGCTTATTGTAAAAGAGACAGGTAGGAATTTAAAATATGCATTATTATCATGAAAACTGTCAGCTAACCACTGCAGATTCATTGAGAAAGTACATTTCAAGTGTTTTTTTTTATCAGGTAACTGTGACAGCCATAGTTGTATAAAACTGTTGTTTAACAACTTAAATTCTCTGGATTGCCACATCCTAAGGCTTATTATTCATTAATTACATGAAAAGCAGTGCAAACCGACTGGGTTAACTGAGATTAACACCCTATTTTACTGCTGAGACAGCCAGTAGGCCATATTATGTCTGAAGGCTGACTAAGTTGTTCATTTGCATAATGAGTTGATCGATTAAAGTCAGTATGAAGAGACCTAAATTAGTCTCCAGCTCCCTAAAGAGAGGCGGACTTCATTTCTTTTTCTCCATCCCCATTAGTTTGACCACTCGATTCTTGCCTGTCACATTCTCTCTCTTGTTTCTCTTTTAGTCTCTGCTTTCCTCTTTCCTCTGTTTTCATCTCGAGTTCTCAGTAGCCAAACTGTCTCTGCAACTGTCTTGGCTTTCTTTCTTTTTTTTCTTTCTCACTCAGACACACAAACTGTTTTATATCATGTCAGGATGTCATACACACACTAGGCCATCCAAATGTATCCAGACAGCCCTTCTAATTAGTGAATTCAGTTACTTTAAGGTGCAGCCAGTGCTGACTCAGGCATTCACAGCTTATATAATCTCCACAGAAAGGCCTGGAGCAGCTGCACAGGAGCCTAAGGTCACAATGGCCAATACCAAACATCAGCTTGAGGGGTATAAAGCCCCCAGCGCAGGGCTGTGAAGCAGCTTTTCTGGAGCAATGAAGCTCCAACAAATACCTCTGGTGTGTGTGTGTGTGTGTATGTGTATATATATACACACACACACACACACATACACACACACACACACATACATCATACATATATCGCTGCTGTTGGAACAAAACCTTGTATCTGGTTCCATTGACTTGCATTAAAAGTGAAGTATGTTTTTTGCTTCTCCTGTAAAATTACCATTTTGGAGATGAGGTTTTGTTCCAACAGCATATATACATATATATATACAATAATGGTTAAATTGTATATTTGTATTTTGATTTTATTTACCACTATCTTGGTTTTAGTTTTAAGTTGCTGCTTATTTTTTTCCTAGTCATTTTATTTGGCCAGTTCACTGTTTTTTTTCAGTGAAAAGCAGCCATGAGGATGAGACGCAGGCCAAGTTGAGCTCAGTCATAGCCGGGCCACTGAATGAAGAGCTGAAAACTGAGGAGTTTTTGTAGCTACAGCCCTTCTAAATGTGAGGAGGACCCCTCTATAAGTGGCTCGATTTGCTGTTGCCCTCACCAGAGACTCGTGGTTATAAATATCCATATACTTACATATTTGAGATTATTCCTCAAACTTATCATCTCTTCATGATAAATGTAGCACTGAGCCTTTTTCTTAATGTCTGATCATTTAAAGTGCTCTAACACAGTGGCTTTTTACAAACTAAGGACCATTACGTTATGCCTGATATTGTAGGTTAGCCCTGTTTTCTCAAGGCACGTCTCTTCTAAAAATGTATGAAAACAAACACACTTATACACACCTGAATCAAACCACACCACAGTGTGAATCAAACCTCTCAGTATTATGAGGATGGACCTCACAGTGTCTGTGTTCAGAACGCTGCAATGGAAGATAAGCAGGAACACACATGGACACACACACACACACACACACACACACAATCATTCTGTCTGTTCTACAGATGCCAGAGAGTGTGGGCTTTCATCTCTGCCCCTGAGACCCACAAAGCAGCCAAAAAAAACCAAAACGAAAAACATCTCAAACAGTGGATAAAAATCCGCCGCCAAAAAGCCGGAGCAATAACGGCTCACACGGCTCACACAGACTCCATTGAATGACAATGATTTAAGAATTTTAATTCCTATATGCCCTGCGTCGGCTGCTGATTGCTGCATTTGCATGGTCTTTCATTTAAGCTTTGCTGTCGGCTCTGTGAGGCTCCATGCCGAGCAGTGCACTTAACAAAAAAGCGTCCATGAAAAATACAGAAGGTGACTGGTGGTATGGCTCAGGCTGGCAGCTGCATGTTAATCATCACGAGTGAACCAGTGAGGGGGAGAATAAAGAGCAGAGGAACAGATATGACCGCTGTGCACTCACCTACAAAAGAGGTCTCCCCCAGGTAGCCCCTGCGCCGCAGCACCACCTCCAGCAGCCCGGCCTGCTCGTCCACCACGTAGCTCCGCTTCTGCAGAGAGATCCAGGCCCAGTCTAAGCGGAACTGCTGACCCTTCAGCTTATTGCCTCCTGCACAGCAACCAAAAACATACACACTTCAGATGATACACACTCAAAAACTTTCTTCGTTTATATGGACCATTTCCCAAATCAGTTCAAACTGCAGTCTTAAAGTAAAAAAACTGTTTAAAAACAATGAAGTATTCAGACCATAGATATTTACAAGGATTATGTTAGAATCTATTTAAGCTCAAGACATTAACTGAGATAGTAATATGCTAAATATACACCGATCAGGCATAACATTATGACCACCTCCTTGTTTCTACGCTCATTGTCCATTTTATCAGCTCCACTTACTATATAGGTGCACTTTGTAGTTCTACAGTTACAGACTGTAGTCCATCTGTTTCTCTGTGTACTTTGTTAGCCCCCGTTTACCCTGTTCTTCAGTGGTCAGGACCCCCATGGACCCTCACAGAGCAGGTACTATTTGGGTGGTGGATCATTCTCAGCACTGCAGTAACACTGACGTGGTGGTGGTGTGTTAGTGTGTGTTGCGCTGGTGCGAGTGGATCAGACACAGCAGTGCTGCTGGAGTTTTTAAACACTGTGTCCACTCACTGTCCACTCTATTAGACACTCCTACCTTGTCGGTCCACCTTGTAGATGTGAAGTCAGAGATAATATGCATAGTTTGTGTTGGTCATCCTCTAGTCCTTCATCAGTGGTCACAGGACGCTGCCCACAAGACGCTGTTGGCTGGATATTTTTGGTTGGTGGACTATTCTCAGTCCAGCAGTGAAGTGTTTAAAAACTCCAGCAGCACTGCTGTGTCTGATCCACTCAGACCAGCACAACACACACTAACACACCACCACCACGTCAGTGTTACTGCAGTGCTGAGAATGAACCACCACTCAAATAGTACCTGCTCTGTGAGGGTCCATGGGGGTCCTGACCACTGAAGAACAGGGTAAAAGGGGGCTAACAAAGTATGCAGAGAAACAGATGGACTACAGTCTGTAACTGTAGAACTACAATGAGTGAAGAAACAAGGAGGTGCTCATAATGTTAGGCCTGACTGAGTATATGAGATCATCATTTACAGGGTACTTTCTATTGGGGTGAAGCCGTCTCAAATGCTAAACCCTAAATTTCAACTTGTGACAGTAATACTTACATTTTTGTTGCAGTTTTTCAGTGTTGTTCTTTTAAGACTATGTCACAAATTACATTTATGAGCAAGTAAACACTAATAAAAATATAAGTCATACATCAGTAGCAGCTACTTGCAGCCATTACTCTGATTAAAATAACATAACAATAATTGCTTACTGACCCGAACTGCACACTGAATGAGTCGGCATGCACGCTCAAAAAAATTACAATAAAGCAAGACTCATCCATCTTTTATACAGTGATATAAATATGGTAGCACACAAAGTTCTCACTCTGCACGCTTACAAAGTTTCACTCTGGCCAATGTGCGCATGCTGTGACTTTCTCTCGCAGGAGATTTAATTGAGTTAAAAGGGTTTTCGACAAATTATGAGAATGCCTTGCCTGAGAGACGCTTGGCTGGATAAGGTTAGGCATTTTCAAACCACTGCATGAGGCAGCCCAGACATTTAAATTAGCATTTTTGACCATTCCAACCACATAATCTGATCTGGTTGAGAAGCATTTAACTCGTGTTAGCAAATCTGATAATGGCATTTTTTTTTACAGTAAGAAAGGAAAGTCATCAGATCTTGGTTTTAATGTTGTCTGTTGTTCATTTTTCTAAACTGTTCCTTGGTTTTGATGCTGTCTCTTGTTTTCATCTTTGTTTTACCATTTTTCCTTTTCTCCCCAATCTAGTCAAATCCAGTTCCACCCACTATTTAAGTGTCCCAAATCACACAACAACTGGGCGAAGACAAACACAAGCTTCCTCTGAGTCATGTGAAGCAGCCACTGCATCCTTTCGAACTGCAGCTAAAGCCTTGGGCTCACTAAATGACTTTTAAAGCGTGAACAGATTATAAAAGAATGGGCGTCTCACACCATCACACTGGTTTTTGCAGATTTTTATGGGCGACTGAAATATTGGGGATCCACACTAAACTCCCACGTTCTCCCATTCCTAGGAGACCCAAATAAACAAACTGTTGCTGCTGTTTTCTCGGCTGTTTGCACTGAAACAGTAAAGAAGCAGCAGGTAAATGTGTTTAAATGAGGCCCATGGATTTAAAAATGTGATCAGTTTGGGATTTTTTGAGTTTTAAATGTACATAAACTCGATTGTGCCTTAAACTCAGCTCATTAAAAAGCTTCGCTCCATACGTGAGAGACTTTTCACCATTTTTCTTTGTTTACTTGCTGTATTTTCTTCTTTTGCGCTCTCTTTTCATTGGCTGTTGCAGGAATCTGTTCAGATTGAGTCATTGACCAGTTTACACTACATTTCGCTCAGAGTCGGGTCAAAAAAATCAAACATGTTGAAATCGGGGTAAAAGTCGTGTAGCGTATCCCCGACTTAAGAAACATCATTGGACAGCTGAACGAGGTTAGAGAAGAATGCGAACCACCAAGTCTTTTACATCAGCTAACAGACGCCATCACGCTGAGTGATGGGGGAGAAGGGGGGGGTCATCCTACCCACCCAAAGACAGCGAGGCCAACTGTGCTCTCTTGGACTTCTGGCCATGGGCGGCTGTAGCATCACCGGAGAACGAGCTTGTCATGTCCTGATGACGGTCAATGCTTACACAGTTGCGTTACTTGGGGGTCTTTAACGTAATATTTTATTTTTTCGCTTTCAAAACGGAGATTAACAATGTAAAGTGATGCACATTTCAGTTTGTGACATATACAAACCCGATATTCAGTTATATCTGTATTCAGACACTGTATCAATAATTAAAACAGAAACACAGATTTTATGAGGATTTCCCCTAAAAACGACTCTGATGTAGCAATATCAATAATAATATGAGGTGTTGTCAGCAACAAGTCATGGGTTTTCTAGCTCAATTATAGTTTAATCTCTACAGTTACATGACTCAGTAAAATGTTCTACAATATTATATTCATTGTTGCTGCGTTTATATGGTCAAAGAAATGTTTCATTTAAGGTCCATCAAAGTTTCCTATTTTAACACGAACGGAGCGTCAAAATGTTTTTCATGCAACCCAGCAGAACATGTAAGTCTGCATTTTCCCATACCTGTGTCATTCTGCAGACCATTGTTGCTAAGTAACAACGATGCTCAATTTACTCTGTATTTGTAGTGGAACTGCTGCTTTAAGGGTGGAAGAAATTGCCAGTATTAAACAAATAGATGCCTCAGATTTCTTTACTGCAAAACTGTTGCATAAAATCAGCAGAACATTTAAAATGTTCTTCACGATAACACTTTCTCTCTACTGCTCTACCGCTTTACCAATACCTGCTTTTCCTAATCAATACTTCATTAGGTTAAATCAGGCGTTCTGAATGTGGAACTGAACAGGTGAAGTGCCTGGAGCTGCATCAAGAAGAGGAAGATCTAAACCTGTGCTCAACTGATCAGCTCACAAAATACCAAAAACTTTTTTTCAAATCAAGAATGGCCAAAGAAAATGTGACATTTTTGACCTTTTATGGCGAAAAGGATTAAACTGGCCTATTATGAAGAGTCAAAATGTTTGACTCTATAAATACATTTAATGGTAACGAAAATTAGAAATTTGATTGAAAACACTCTTTTATCCTTTTGCTTTCCTGTGTGGACAAAATGCAAAGCATAACTAAAACAAAACAGAATTAACTGCCTTGGATGACCAACCGTTCTTTGTTGTTGAGGATGTTTGCTGTAGCCAACAGACTGTAATAAGTTTAGCATGTTTATTTTATGTTAACTGGTTTTATTTATCATCTCTTTTGTCCTACTAGTTTTTGTTTTGGTTACCTTTTAATATTAATCTATTAATGACTGTGGTGGCGCAGTGGGTAGCGCTGTCGCCTCACAGCAAGAAGGCCTGGGTTCGATTCCCGGCCGGGTGACCAGGGTCCTTTCTGTGTGGAGTTTGCCTGTTCTCCCTGTGTCTGCGTGGGTTTCCTCCGGGTACTCCGGTTTCCTCCCACAGTCCAAAAACATGTAGTCAGGCTAATTGGACATGCTAAATTGCCCCTAGGTGTGATTGTGTGTGTCTGTCTGCCCTGCGATGGACTGGCGACCTGTCCAGGGTGTATCCTGCCTTCCGTCCCCAATGATAGCTGGGATAGGCTCCAGCACCCCACCGCGACCCAGAATGATAAGCGGTTTAGATGATGTATGTATTAATGACTGTATTCATTCTAGTCTTATATAGTGTTTTTAGAAGCAAAAAGACTTACTGCTGAGATAAACAGACAAATTTTCTTGGCTGATATGACTTTTGCACTTTTACTGCAAATAGGGTGTTAAAAAATTATGATCGTGAAGATTACGCTTGCATGCAACATGCCTAAATCACATTCCTTAGCACCAGTTCTGCTGAACCGCTTCCCAGCCCATGAAATTATAACCCATGTAATTAGTCCCTAATGATCAGTAGTAAAGTCCTGGCTATGAAGTCGTTAAGCTGCACATTTTCCCTGCGAATGTATAAAGGCGTGCGTTTGCCCTTCAAAGCCCGATCCCAATCCCCACGGATTTTGATATGAAGGAATACCAGGAATGCCGAGTACAACATTTCAAGAACATGAAGGCTTGAAGGTCAGGAAAGGCGCCAAACACAAGCTGGAACTTTTCAAAGCAAACATCATGACTGACCTCACACACACACACACACACACACACACACACACACACACACACACACCGACACTGAAACGTGACGAGAACTGATCACAGAAACACACACGCACGCATTCATGTCATGTTTCAAAAATCCATATGTGTGCAAAGATAAGCCAACGGAGCTTCACGCCTGCTCACTTCTCTTGCATGCAAAACATCTCACTATGTGGCCAACTGCGATTTCACTCCAACCGCTGGATCACAGAAAATTTGGCACGTATCCATCAACCACCATGGCTGTCACACCTGCTTTGTTTGGCG